ATCAAACTGTCACTCTGAGCTTCCTTTTTATGCATGAACTTCACCAACATTTTCTTTAAACACCAATTTTCTATGCCTTTGGTGGCGCCGGCCTTATCTGATTGGGTCACACTTGACACTATGACCTATCATCCTCCACAGCTTTATCTGATACAGTTACATAACCTGTCTGGGTTCTGGAGGCCTTTAAGCCTGGGACTCCTGGAATAAGATCTATTTAGACTCCAAAAATTATCATAAATAGGCACTTGCCGAATCCACCAGGGGTCAGCACACCAAGCATGATGGCTCCAGTGTCACCAGAAATTGAGCCAAGAAGAAAAAAAAAAAGAAAACTTAAAACGATGTATCTCCCTGTTTCCTATTACTCTTTTACTTTGCACTGTAGCTCATTTATATACACTTTGGGTTAAGATCTTTTGCAAAAAGAAGGAGACCAAGATATGAAAGGAAGATGGAGGGAGGCCTTGGAGGGGGATATAAAAAAAATTAAGATGGGCCCAGTACACATACCAGCTGCCCATGATGAGCGTAATCAGTACGTACTGCAAACATGTACTAAGGAAACCAAAAATTAAAAAGAACGCCTAGAAGAGTCAAATACTTTTGAAAAGTGCCTACACCCATAACTTTAAAAATTTTCCCTCTTTATAAGCAAGTTTCTTTGCACTCACTGCTTTGGTCCTTCTGTCTGAGGGCCACGCGGAGCTCCGCAGTAGCTAACTCTGATTTCTCTCCAGCGTGACCTTACAGTTAATCTTTCTTTTCAGCTCCTGGCATGAAACCCACCGCAAAAACAGGCTACAGAAACAAAACAAAACAAACAAAATACTGCTAGGGTGCCATCTGGTTCAAAGGCAAAATAAATGATTTCATGTTCAGAAGTGCAAAGCCGTGAACAGAGCTAAACCCGCACAGAGACCCTTGTTGAAGCAATTATTTTAAAATGTACGTACCTGCAGGAAAAGAGCCTAAAGAAAGATCTGGGGTACAAAGCGTGAAGAACATGAAGAGAATCACAGAAACTGATCAAGGGTAAGCCAATGTTTATAAGCTGCTAATTGAAAAAAAAAAAAATCCTACCATTTTGCTTCAAGATGAGCAAAACTAACTCTAGATATAAAATTGAAGAGGAAAGAAACAGGCAGTTAAAGTGTGCTAAGGGGCTCCTCTGCTGTCAATTAGGGCAAAACAATTATGGGCGTTTTGAATTTGTTCGAAAAATGTTTGGCCTAAGGTGTACATTAACAGTTGTCAAAAAATGAAAACACTGTTGATAGCTTGTAAACCAAAAAAGGGGAAATACTGAAAGTTTTGCTAATTTGATAGATTGTAAGAAAGGGAAAGAGAAAAAACATAGACAGATGAAGGTGCACAGAAAAATCAAAGCTGAGACACAAATAGTCTATCAATCAGCAAACAGTAATGGGTCTGGCCAAATAGCTCAGCGGATTAAAGTGCCTACAAGCAGGTGCAGGGACCAGGAGTTCTATCCCAGGGCCTGCCGGGTGGGGGTGCACGCCTGTAATCCCAGCACTTGGGAGGCTGTAAACAGATCACTAGGAGTCTGATCTAGTAGTGAGACCCTGTAGTAGAACCTTCCCTAAAATACAAAACAACAGCAAACAGTATTAAAAATAAAAGACTCGGGCTGGAGAGATGGCTCAGTGGTCTAAAGCACCTACTTAAAACAAGCTTAGCAAAGCATCGGGGACCGCGGTTCAATCCCCCAGCACCACATGCCAGCCAGCCCCGCCCCCTGGTGGGCTGAGCTGGCCACACACACACACCACACACACTCTCTCTCTCTCTCTCTCTCTCTCTCTCTCTCTCAAATAAATAAAAAAAAAATTAAAAAAAAAAACAAAAAAAATAAATAAAAGACTCTTCTCATCAAAAACCCTTAAAAATTCTTTGCATACTGTTTTCCTGCCCTGGGGTTAGTGAAGCATGGAGCTGCATGACCCAAGTAGCTTATGGACAGTGGAAAAGTATGTTTCATGGTTTCACAGGCTGTGAAGTCCAAGGGCAAGGCCGCCGCAGGTACGAAGGCCACGGCCGCTGCACAGGGCGATGCTTCAGTGGCCGCCCTCACTGGGAGGAGAAAGGCATGGCTGCTCCCTGTGGCCTCTCCTAGAAAAGGCCAGGAATCTCATGGCCTAATCACTGTCCAAAGGACCCCATCACCTAACATTGAGTGACGAAGTTACAAGATGAGAATTTTGAGCAGACTAAATAAGTTTCTGATTTCTTTTTTCTTTTTCTTCTTTTTTTTTTCCTTAGGTACTAGGACTAGATCTCAGGACAGTATGCTTGCCAGGAAGGTGATTATGCAGCTGAGCTACCTCCCCAGTCTTGGTTGTGAATTTTTTAAATGTATTTGTAAAAAAGATATAAAAATTAATATCAACAGGCTTGAGCTGTTAATTTTTTAAAAAGCCTTTAAAATTGGTAGCATAATAGTTAATGAGGAGGGGGCATGGTGGAGAATGCCCCAATCCCAGCACTCTTAAGTGTGTGAGGCAGGAGAATCACAAGTTTGAGCCCAGCCTGGACAATTTAGTGACATTTTTAGCATTTCTTTTTTCTCAAAAAAATAATAAATAGTAACAAAATAAATAGTCCACTATAATACAGTATCATAAAGACCATGTTCATTCTGTTTTTTGACCACAGTGAAATTAAATGAGATTTTAACAATAAAAATTGCAAAATAGTCAAAGAACTAATAATGCACACATTTAGAAACTGTAAAAATGCATTCCTGAATAATTTTTGAATTAACTTTATAAGATAACACAATGGAAATGACAGCACATTTAAGACCAGAAGCATAATAAATTTGTTACATAATGAAATTTGTAGACCCAGCAAAAATTCTGTGAAAATAAATGAAGCCAGGCATGGTGGCAGCAGGAGGACTCAGGAAGCTGTGGCAGGAGGAGCACCATGGGTTTGAGGCCAGCCTGGATTGTATAGTGCAATCCTATCTCAAAAAACAAAAGAAAAACAAATGAGTAAGCATTCAACTCAAGAAGCTACCAAATAACACAAATTTAAAGAAAGGAATTTAAAACAATAGGAGAAGAAAGGAATACATTTTATGTTTATATGAAAGAAACTAGGGATCATCAAAATCAAAAGCAAATTTCTTGGATAAAATAAGAAATTTATTAAAAATCTATAGTGTAACGGAGACTTAAAACCTCACACGAACATTTAAAATATAGATAAAATGTTTTTCGTAAGAAAGCTGAGCAGTCAAACATTGTTCGAGAAAAAAAAAAAGATATTCCAATAAAGCTGGTGCCCATGACAGAAATTAAATTCATAATAAAAATGTGTCTTCCTAGCATGTTTCCTCACTGCCTCAGAAAAGATACCAGACCAGGCAGATGATTTGAGAGGGATGGTTTTTACAGAACTTTCAAAGTATATTGATCCTATCTTGAACCATGGGGGAGGGAGGCAGAAAGAAAAGGGAAATTGCCCAGATAATTTATGGAGGCCATGCAGCCTTTGTAGCAAGACAGGCCCAGAACAGTAAGGAAGAAAAGGAATGTCACAGGGAAATTACATGCATGACTTAGATGCAAAAATCCTAGTTAACTACTAGCAGAGAGAATTCAGCACAGCACATCCTCAAAAGGCCTAAGTAGGTATTTTCATGCCTTTTTATGACCTGCCCTCAGGTTACAATGGCTTCTTGAGGAATTGTGCTCTTAATACCTTTTTCCCCCCTCTGGGTCACACTCTAGTGGGTCACACTGCCTGGTTCAGCAGGAGGCAGTAGCCAGGACCTGAGGGTCCGGCAACAAGTGCCATATTCTTCTCCCTTTGGGAAACTGAAACTACACCCAGCTTCTTGGGTTTTCAAGCTTGCTTTCTTTCTTTTTCTTTCTTTCTTTCTTTCTTTCTTTCTTTCTTTCTTTCTTTCTTTCTTTCTTTCTTTCTTTCTTTTGTGTGTGTGTTTTACAGAAAGGCCTACAGGATGTTCAAGGTCTCACTACTAGATGGGACTCCTAGTGATCCATCTGTTTACAGCCTCCCAAGAGCTGGGATTACAGGCACATGCCACTATGCCCAATCTCAGTCGCTGTCTCAGCATGCCCCGGTGGTGGGATCTAACCCCTGGCCCCTGAGCCTGCTTGCAGGCGCTTTAATCCGCTGAGCAAATTATTTGGCCAGCCATTCTTGGGTTTTCAAGAAGCACAGTTGTACACTGTTTGTTTCAACCTTCACTTTTTATTTTGAGATACTGAGTCTCTAGAAACATGTGCCATACAGGTTTTTTTTAAGTAATGTAAGAAAGAATCACAAGATCTTATGGCCCCTTACCCAGTTTCCTCCAGTGATACCCTCTTGCAAGTCTGTGCAGAACATGCCGTGACCACGAGGACTTTGCAGAGACAGTAAAGAAAAGAAACATTCTAACCCCCGAGGGCCTCGCATGGGGCCCGGTTGATTTTACTTTAATGACTACTGTTGATTTGTCTTTGAAGCCTGGGAGTCACCTAACCTACTAACTCTTAGGACTGCTTTGGAAAGTGCAGTTTTCTGCCTTCAGTGGGAAGTACGAAGGAAGTCACTGTCGGTGGCACTTTAGAGAGCAGGTATCTTTATACAGAGGCGTCCTCCTTTTGAATTTTGCAAGCATTCGATCTGTAACAGAACATCCGATTTGTTTCCTGGGGCCCCGACGTGAAAACCACGTGCTCTGGTTGTTCCATCTGCCTTCCCGGAGCTTGTGAACTGCTGGGAAGTACAGGCAGAGTCCCCAAGTCCCTTCCGGAGCCTGAAACGCCGTGGTTCAGACTCTGTGGGTCTTCCTTCTCATCACCACTTCTTGTCTTCTTGAGAGTGGATGGGCGCCTGGCCAGATCAACCGGGGTCCTTCCTGCACCACATGATGTTATTCTAAGGAACTTCACAGTCCGCATGGAGCCCAGCGGTGGCTTTTCTATGTCGCAGATCCCCAAGGCTTGTCTTCTTAGGCGAGTATGGAACTTCTTAAGATGGTGCTCTCCTGTCAGGGCCCATTCAACTCGGGGTCATCTAATCGCAGTGGCGACTCCCAGGCTGGATTGTCCTGCGTGGGTGGGCAGACGCCACAGGGAGAACACCGGAGGAAAAGAGACCCGCTTTGGGCGAGTCCCCAGTGATGTAAGGGTCCTTAGAGATGTCACTGATGGGGGAGGGGTGGAGATATGAGGGGTAAAACCTAGAAGTCTTAAATGCTCATCCTTTTTGGCTTTTATTTATTTACTTAATCTTTTTGAGACAAGGTCTCTCTCTGTAGTTCACGCAGGCCTTGAACTCACACTACTAGCCCCAACTATGAACTCAAGGCAATCCTCGTGCCTTGGCCTCCCCAGGGTTGAGATCACAGGCATAAGCCACCACGCTGGTTTTGGCGTTTGGTTTTTAGAGGGAGATCTCCGTGGCTTGCAGGAACGGCAGTAAAGTGGCTGCGCAGAGACGAGATCGTGGATGCCAGAAGGCACTTGCATCTTCGAAGCCTTTCTACTCACTGGGCGGAAGGGGCGCGGGAGGAGGGGGCAGGGAAGAGAGCGAAGGGCGGGGGCAGCAAGCTGAGCGGGTGGGCGTGGCTGGACGGGTGGGCGGGGTTTCTCCACCTAGCTCAGATTGGCGACCTGGTTCTGCACTGCGCCCTCCTCCTACGCGCGGAATCTGGAGACGCGTGTCTCTTGGTTTGTCTCAGATCCGGTGCTAGTCTCATTTCTGACTCACCGCTTACTGCCTACTTCCTCTGGGTTCTTTTTTTGTTTTGTTCTTCTGAGCTGGGTTTTGAGTACAGGACTTTTGCACTGAACTACATCTCAGCCGTTTTTAATTTTTGAGACAAGGTCACGCTAAGCCTCTAAATCTGGAACTTGCACTGCTCCTGCCTCAGCCTCCCAGAGCGTGCCACCGCTCCCTCTGCGTCCTCCTTTTGAATTTCCCCAAATCCACCTCTCAGAGCTGAGCCTATTCTCACACTGCGCCTGCGCGTCCCCCAGGCCCTGTCCATCCCCTTCAGATCCAGTTTGTGGAAATTCACTCTTTGGCTTCGTCCGGATTATCCCCCTGTGGTTATGACTTTGCTTTCTCCGGGATCCTAGAAAAACGGTTTCCTTTCTCTCTGTGCTAACAGGTGAAAGATGAGATCAGCTCTGTTATTAGAGGGAATGATGGGGCTCGCGGTGTGGGGCCACAGGTAGACCGCTGGACACAAATCCCTTAATTTCGAGCCCGGTTGAGACGATTCGCTTTCTAAAGGTCACATTGTTGCAGATGACTTCTACAAAGGCGAATCAGCGGAAAGGAAAAGGCAAACATCAAACTTGCCATTTGCTTGCCAAATCAATAACTGGAATAAAGAAGGATCAGGCTAGAGGGAATTTGTCCCCAGTAACCTCACCAACCAAGCAGGAGGTGAACGGTGAGAGTGAGAGGCGGCTTATCCTTTGCCTCTTGCTGCTGATCCACAGAGGCTCGTGTCCCAGCGAGTGGGCCACCGAGCTGGTAAATGCCAGGCAAGGAGACAAGCGCTCACATAAACACAGAGCCAACCAGCTAGCAGTTCTCAGGTCTGAGCTGGCAAACAGAGGGCAAAGTACAAAGGAAAACCGCGGGGGAAATGTTTAAAGCATCACATTGAACTAAGGAGTGAAGAAATCCCGAGCGATTTCACCCAGTTATGACCAACTCCCATCAGGAACGGACAGTGGCTGGAAGGCAAAACTGGGAAATGCTCATGTCTTAATGATACACGGACGAAGGGTGTTATGTAAACCGAGGTATAGTTCTGTTTTGCAGCGTGTCTTCTTGGAAAACAAAGGACTGGAATTAGAAGAAGTCAACTCAGATCTGTATGACTTCAAGCTGTGGGGTTCTGACGGAAAGTTGCTAACATCTCAGAGCTTTTGCTTTCACCTGCTAAACAGGGTTGTTTTGAAAATTAAGTGAAATAAAGTTCATGTGTACACCTAGAAGGCTGTTCACAGCTATAATTGCTACTACTAAAATTACTACTGAAAATAACGAAATATTTCTGTAGAATTCATGCTACAGCTTTAAGACGCAGTCAAGAAACACTTTTTTGGAGTAGGAAAAAACCTAACTCATAAGTAATACTGTCTAAGTCTTGTCACACATTTCCACTTTTATCTGAAAGACAGTAATTTTTAAAAAACTAAGATAGTGGCATTTTCTTAGTTCCGATTTGTTCTACTTAAGAATAACCATGGCTGGGGAGACAGTTCAATGGAATAGCCACCTGCCTGGAAAGTGGAGGGTCCTGAGTTCAATCCCCCGTACCACGAAAAAAAAAAAAAAAAAAAAGAATAACCAGACACAAAGCTTAAATATCACACAGTATCTCTTGCATGACAAATCCAAAGGATTAAAAAATGAAGGTGCAAAACAGAAGCTAAATAACAGGAAATAGGGAGATAGGTCTTTTGCAAATGGGAAGTGGGCTAAGAGATGGAGAGGAGGGAAAAGGAAAGGCGAGAGGAGGAATGTAGAAAAAAAATTAAGTTATGTTCACTTACCAGCTCCCCACAATAAATGTAATCATTAAGTACTGCAAATATATAGTAATAAAAATAACAATAAAAAGAATAAAGGAAAAATGTATATGCCGTGGTACAAAGATGGGATGGTTGCAGTTCTATAATTAAACTCACAATGGGTTAAAACAAAGCAAAAGAATGAAAACAGAGGCATTTTCTGGAATATTTGTAACCCTCCTCCCACCCCATCATTATACCAGTGCACTGTATTTCTTTGTTTTTCATGCCAGGAGGGCCCAAGCCCAGGGCCTTGGGCCTAGTAGGCAAGGAATCTACCACTGTGCCACATCGCCCACTCAGTCCTTGTCCTTCTAAATCCATCTTCAAAATAAATAAGTAAATAAATAAATCCATCTTCATTTCAAGTGCTTCCCAATTTGCCCTGTCATTCTCTGGGTCAGCATCTGGCTTTCTCAGGGTACATGGGAGTGCATGTAGGTGCTTTGGAGGACAGGAAGAAATAGAAGCTATCCTCCCTGTCCTTCGAATCCTTACATCCCAGGGCTAACAGGGAAGAGGTAGGATTAAATGGTAAATTAATATTGCTCTCACTCTCTGCCCAGGAGGCTGTACAATGGAAATTACATGACGAATATTGAATTTACATTATAGAGAAGTCCCTAGGCATTTTATAGCTAAATCTTCTTAAGCAAAGATGTGCAAAGACTTGCCTGGACTCACTAATGCTACTTATAAAAGTTTCCAATTTGACATGAAACTGAGTGAACAGTGATAGTACAAATGTCATCTGAGTAAATCCCAAGGACATTGAAGCAGGAATGCGTGAGGGTGGACAGGCAGGAGGCTGGGACGGAAGCTTGATGTGGGTGTGAGAGCAGAGAACAGTGTGCTGTGGTCACAGGTACAGTGACTTCTGCACCCACATGGCCATCCTAGGGATCATGTGGCTGTGGGAGACCTTAGATCTTGCAGTGGGAACAGGAAATAGGTCATGACTCCAATGAGGGTGGAGCCTTGGCCTGCTTGGTCTCCTCCAGATGTCAATAAAGAATTGAAGACAGCACTTTTTAGCTAGTCCCTGGATGGTGCAGCAGAGTCCTTCTGGATTCTGTGTTCTGTCCACATGTCCTGGGTCTCTGTGACTGCCAGGTCGCACCCACTTGCTCAACCAGTTTGCCCTGCCCTAATCTCTAACTTCATGCTGCCTCTTGAGCTCTGAGATCCTTTAAATTGATCTGGAGAAGGAGGATGAGGAGGAGAATAAGAAAAGGAGAAAAAGGAAGAGGAGCAAAAAAAAAGAAGAGGAAGACGAGGAAGAGGAGGAGGAGGAGGAGGAGGAGAAGAAAAGGTCACTATATTGGTTAGGTTCTCCAGAGAAATAAAATATATATTCTTCATTTTAGTTACTTGGTTTAACTAGATAATAATAATAATAATAATAATAATAATAATAATGATTTAATAATAACAAATGTTTTCAAGATTTTGAGCATCATGATCAATAGTTTACCAACCACCAGTATTTGCAAATCCTGTTCCAGCCCACCAGAGAGAACCTGGGAATTTTTCAATAATTAGTCTTTTCCTACCCCGAAACCCCTCCTTTCCCCTTGCCTAGGAGGTACCCTGATTTTCTTATAAACCTTGCCATTCTTTTCTTCATTAGTCCCTGTACTACATCAAAATCTCAGTCTAGGCCCTTCTGGCTCCCTCCTAGCTGCCCATTCCTTGGTCCTCCTGACTTCAGTGTGACCAGCTCTCTGCCTTCTTTGGATTTGGGAAACTTGTGCTAAGTTAAGATAGTTTGCCATCTTTTTGGTTTGCTGGCTTACTGAATAAATCTGTTTCTTTGTCTTAACAACTTGTCTCGATTCATTGGTTTTCTTATGAGTGGCAGGAAGCAGGCACGGGTAAACTCACAGGGCTCATTTTGTTTGTGCTCAGGCCCTCTGTGGTTGGATGACGTGGCCCACATGGAGAGGCCACCTGCCTGTTTGTCTAGCCCACCGATTCAAATGCTCGGATGTCCCGGAAACACCCTTCTGTACACACCCAGAAAGGAGGCTTAGCCGCCTAATGGGGCATCCTGCAGCCTAGTCCCACAGCTACATGAAACTTACCATACAGTAATGGAAAAAAAGAGAAATTTTATTATAGAAATAATAGTCAAGTCTTTGCTTGCTTCCCACAGAAACCTAGCGGGTTTCACAACTACTATGAAAGAACTCCATAGGGCAGGTGTCCTTTGAGTCTTCCCTTGTGGTGTTTTTGCTCCCAATGCTACCACTTTAGGTGCCCAGCCCACTCCCACCATCTTCTTCCTGGGACCTCCACAATCTCAACCGTCTGTCTCTGGAAGATCCACTCACAGCTTCCTAGAAAGACCTGTTCCTGTTCAGCTGCCATGAAATCAGAATGTCACCAGAAGGGGTCCCAAGAGATTCCTCCTCCAAGGAGGAAATGGGGACCTTAACTCATTCCACTCACAGGAGAGGTTATAAGTTTGCTGGCTTCCATTGCAGAAGAAGACTTTTCAGGATATGGGTCAGTGAGAGATGGAATAATTGTTGATTAGGCAGAATGGAAAAGCACACATTTGGAAGAAAGTGCAGGGGGGGAGAGAGAGACAGAGACAGAGAGAGAGAGAGAGAGAGAGAGAGAGAGAGAGAGAGAGAGAGAGAGAGAGAGAGAGAATGATCATGATCTGAAGCCGGGCATATGTGGTCTTGGGGTATCTTCAAGTTGGGCAATGGAGGATTCATATCTCATCCAGCAGGGTCTGTGTTAAAATGCACACCATGTGCATATGTATGAAACTAGAATGTGCTGGCTGCCCTTTGGGAGAAGAAGTGCAATTCAGAGGTGAAAAGCATGGTCCTGCAGCCCGATTTCCAGGCCTACTGTGTTCCTCAGACCTTCAAAGACAGGACCTATGTTCTCCTGGTGGCAGAAGAAAACTCGAGAAGGCTGTACTCTAAGAACTGTGTCGGCTGGGCTGGGAATGAGGCCCTGACTTCAGTCCCCAGCACCGAACACAGAAAACTGCCCAGGGCTGGTACCTGAACAGGGCCCCGCAGGAAGAGCTGCTGCAGATGGGGCTGGCATTTCCCCTCTTCTGTTCCTAATAGAAATGGTCACATTTTATAGGTGAACCATTTTTTTTTTTTTTTTAATGTAATTGGTACGAGGTCTCACCACACAGGTTGAACTCATAGTGATCTTCCAGTTTTTAGCCTCCACAGAGCTAGGTACAGGTGTGCGCTACTGCCCCCCAGGGTCAGGGCTGACACAGCCTGTGGTACCTGGAATTGAAGCAGGTTCCTGTGCTTGCCTAAGTAGGCACTTATTCCACTGACTATCTCACTGGCCCTAAGCCATCCATTCTTATGCTTGAAGCCTATTGGGTTGAAACACTTATTTATTCAGATTCTGTGGGCCTGGGAATCAGGTAGTTCCTGGAAAGTGGGCAATGGAAGTGGGGCCGGGGGCAGGGAGATGGCTCAGTAGAAAAAGCACTTCCCTGGCAAGCATAAGGACCTGAGTTCAATCCCTGGTTCCACAAAAAAAAAAAAAAAAAAAAAAAAAAAAAAAAAAAAAAAAAAAAAAAAAAAAAAAAAAAAAGTAGGGGCCTCTGCTGGGTTGTCTGGGTGACTCCTAGGATGCTGGCTGGGGATGTTCA